AATACGTTACAGAATACATTTTGGGGCATGTATTCTGTAATCTGTAATGGAATACATTTTAAAAGTAACCTTCCCAACACTGCACACAGACAGCAGTGATCCACAGCATTTCTCCAGCCACTAACACACCGTAAAGCAGACCGCCTGTAGTTCATACCGAGCAGATCCCGTAAAAGCAAAACGTTACAGATAAATCTGTAAACTTAATTTTAAAACTAAACAACAGCGCATTTTGAAAGCTTTTATTGTGTTTCTACTCCAGTAGAAACACAATAAAAGGCAGTATTCATTAGAAGTGACAGGTGTCCGCAGCAGCTGGGGTCTGACAAGTGACCCGGGCTGCACACACCTCAGGCAGGTGAGCTTACTGCAGGCAGACGGTGATGATCAAAGACACCCACTTACCTCACTGACCTTCCTCTCCTCCTCGGCCAGGTGCTGCTGGACGGACAGCTTCACAGTCTGATATAAACCCAAACCTCCACCCAGCAGGAAGGCGCAGCCCAGCACCCTGCCTCCCCCTTGGCGCACACCGGAGAGCAGTTTGGACCGGAACCCCGCTCCGCCGGTGCCGTACGCCCTCCTGGATCCGTGCGCGCCCACATTCCCCAGCAGGTAGGAGAAGGCGCCGGACCGACGGGCTGCTGGAGACTCTAGAAAAGACAAGCCGACCTTAGTGAGTGTTCTGGCGCAGGAGGCTGCCATGTTGGCTTTACATAAAGTCCCAGAATGCACCACGAGGGATAGGGGTTTGAGCTGAGCCTGTCAGGGTGTGTGCCGCCCCTAGTGGCGTGCAAAGGCAAAACCTGAGAAAAGGTGCAATAAAAAGGGAACCAAGGGGGCAAAAAGACATCAAATAGATGCAAAACCGCTAAATGATGAACAGAGAAAAGCAAAATCACCACAAAGAGATATAAAGTAACTGTAAAGAGACAAAAACAAACAAACAAGCAGAGTTAGAGAGGTCAGGTTGAGATGGTTTGGACATGTGCAGATGAAAGATGGTAACTTTACTAGATAAATGATGTTGAATGTGGAGCTGTAAGACAGGAGAAAAAGAGGAACACCTCAGAGGAGGTTCATGGGTGTAGTGCAGAAGGCACGCAGAAGAAGATGCTGGGAATAGGGAAAGGGTGAGATGGAGACAGATACAGATGTAAAACCAAGAGATGCAAACATGACATCATCACAGACCTCAGAGGACCACAAAGACCTGCAAATTACAACTACATGGAAAACAACAGGATGCGAAGCCGCCATAAAGAGATGCTAAAAATAACCAAGTGGAGACTAAGAGTCACTGCAAAGATGGAAACAATAATTAAATTGGAAAAGCAACCATAAAGAACATAAAACAGATACAAATAGATGCAAAATGATCTAAAACTGATACTGAATAACAATAGCAAAGAGATACCTTTTTGTCTTTTTATTTTGTTTTGCTAATATTCACATTATTCCTTATTCACCTTTGTTTTACTGAGCTGAATGATTTTAGTTTTTGTGTGTGTTTTAGCTGCTTTATGACAGGATTTTTCTCAACTTTTGGAATAAATTAAGTATATCTATTTCCAGACCTGTGAAATTATGTGGGATATCACATAAATTAAATTGAACTGAACAGTAAATAATATTGGACTTCTGACGACTTCTCTGCAGTTTTAACACTGACATCCACTGGCCAAGTTTGCCCATTTAAAGGGCTATTTCCGGCCCTCGTGCCATAGGTTTTACACGACTTTGTGTTTAGATCGTCGTTGTTAGTTTTGTTTTATTTTAAATAATTGATAAATGTGTTTTAAATGCAAAATATTTACATAATTGAACTGAATTGCATTGAATTGCATTGAGGTGTGTTCAGGAGCGCCTGTTTTGCCCTGGATGCGTGGGTCTACGTGTGCTGCATTCAAGAGCGTCGTTTTTCCGACTTTCTCTGTGATCGCAGCAGCAGCAGCAGCAGAGGAGCGTCCTGTTGCCCTGCTGAAAGCGGAGAATCCCCCTCAGCCAGCAGCGGCAGCAGTACTACCAGCATCATCCATTTTCACTGGTCGAGCCACATCGCATCCTTCCCCGCTCGGACTCTTCGCTCCGCTGGGATGCCGCCGTCGAGTAACGGCGGCAGGGATTCGCTCGGGAGCGCCTGCGCTGGAGGACACCATCCCCGTGCGGTTTTAGGAGCGTGACTGGGATGAAGGCACGAGGAGACAAATAAAAATCTGATCATAGCCGGCTAACGCTAGCACGCTAACGTTAGCTGCCCGTTTTCCCCTCCCTGCTCACTGACCGATGTGTTTTCCTCCATGAATAAACACTCCTTTAATGCCCCCCCTTTTTTTATTCTTGCGAAGACATGCTGAAGTCACCGAGGACATTTATCTCAAGGATAAAACATCACAGGGGTCTCCTAACCTCCAAAGGGTAACGCCAGTTAGCCATTAGTACCTTTTATTTTTTACATTTTTCTCGCTCGTCCGTGGAGATGCTGGCTGAGGAGGAGTGTGTCTAGCGCTGAACCAGAACTCGCATGGATACTCACTCCATGAAGGTCATGATACTGAGAGAATGATCATGCTGGAAAAACAGGTAAGAAATCAGCACAGAGCCGTGAAGTCAGCGGGTTCGTATTTAAATGCACACCTGAGCTCATTTGCGTATCGTAATTAGGCTACATGGGGCTTGTGCTGCACCCCTGCCACAGCTGGGATCTGATAGAAGTAACGGGCTGTAAAGGTGAATTTATGCAGGTGATCAGCACATTTTTAATGATAATAATCCCCCCCCTCTCTCTTTCTCCCCGGCTTAAAGTCTGCCTCTTTCTGCCACTCTCTCTCCTGCTGCTCTTTAAGCCATAGACTGTATATAAAGATGTATTTACAATAATTAAATGTGTTTTTAATTTTGGGGGATTAAATTTACAGGACATTATCAATATTGTGAAGCTAGGGTTGCACGATTGCGAAATTTTAGGTCACTAAAGACATTTTGTAAAATCATTAGGACCTAAATCTGATCCCCCCCCCAATCATTTATTTATTTATTTGTTTGTTTGTTGTTATTAATTTCCTCTTGTGTGACTGGAAAGAATAGATCTGTACTATATTATTTGTCCGAGTCACCAGTAATTATGGTATGAAAAATTCTAAACATCTCACCTACCCAACTGAAATTGAATTTCTTCACAGATACAAAATTTTGTTATTGTTAAATTAGGTCCAATGTTAAGTATGTTGAACCTGACACTTGGGAAAAAAATACAAACAGTGTATGTAACGTTGCATTTGCAGGGGGATGGTGAACATAATGTAGAAGACAAATCAAAATATAAAAACATTAAAAAAAAAAACCCCACATGTTAATATTTGATATATAGATATATATATGTGCCAAGTTTTGTTCAGATTGGCCCACCTGGCACATAAGACACATATACCACATATTTTACAATCATTATAGTAGGATTAGGGATTCACCAACTGTGGAATCATAGATGGATACCAGTGTCTTTTGACAGATATCGGGTTCTGATGCCGATATTTTTTTCAGTCCCTTTTGGTTTTGTTGATATTCAGGGTTACCCTTGTTTCAGGGAGGCAAATTAATTATAAACTATTAGGGATGCACCAAATTGTGAAATTATGGCAGATACCAACAGGCAAAAATAATAATCCAAAGTATATCTAGTTGTGATGCCAACATTTTGTTTTCTTTTTTTTTATTAATAGTTACATTCACCTCTGTACAACAAATCTTATACAATTTTAGGAAGTCACTGCTTGTTAAACAGGTCAATTCTAATAAATAATATCTGATGTTTTTTTCTTTGTTTTCTTGTTTTTTATTCCCTCCCATGTGCCTTGGAGAACAAATAAATCTTCATTATAAAATATTTGCAATGCGCTGATTGTGATTTCTGTGCAGATATTTTATTAAGCTCGTGACGATACCAATGTATTTTTTCTTTCTTTTTTTTTGTGTTATTTATATTCACTCTTGTTCCAGGTAAACAAACAAGCCCTCGTACTGTAATGTGAAATTTTTGGCCAATACCAACATTTAAAATAACAGTTTGTCAGGCATCCGCTCCTGATGCCGCCATTTGTCTTTTTTATTTTGTTACATTAACTTTTGTTACATGGAAAAATAAATTGTTATTGTACAATGTTAGGTATGAATTGAATGAAGTCCTGGATGGATAAAACTGTTATAAAATACCAGTCAAACCAATATTCTTTCACCACTATGTTTATCTCCAGTAAAAAAAAAAAAAAATAAAAAAAAATAAACAACCAAAAAATAAATAAATAACTGTCCTATTTTTAACTGTTTTTCAAACAAACTGACAAATAGATTAATTAAATATTGAAGGTTTACAGTTGGAAAATTGATAAAAAACCAAACATACCTCAGTAAATTCACTTAAAATGTAAGTGGCAAATATGAAATACTAATAAAGACGTGTCTATGGTTACATTATTGGCCAGAAATTTCACAGAACAGTTTTTAAAACTAGTATGCAGATGTTTGTTTGTCTCCTAGGCTTATAAACCGAAGTACGAGTTATTTTTAGTGATAGTTTTCTGCTTGTTGTTGCCTCTTGGTACTTGCTTCAGGAAATGTCCTTCAACCAATAGAACTCATAACCTTATCTGTCCAAGAACGGAGGGCAGGAGGTGGTGTTGACGGGATGTTGGTGGAGTTACTTCCTCTTGTTTGCTTCCATAAACAGAGCGTTAATGATACATTTTACCGTCAGAGATGTGAGGAGGTGTGTCTGATTTTAATTCTTTCAGTCACTCAGTGGGAAGTTAATCAGTTTTCTTAAATTGGTCCTGTTGATTAATTTTGTCTTTGCAGTGTTTACTCTCCTGGTGTCTAAAGGCGTGAGCTGGAAAATCTGAATTGTATGCAGGTGTTTGTGTTACTTTTTGAGGACAAAAGATTTTGATATCAGATCTCCTCCTTTTTCTTTTTAAACCTGCCTGTGTTGCTAGCTGTCTGCTTGGCCTCACCTCCACTAATTCAAGTCACTGAATTAGACCTCTTGATTTGAAGCATCCATTCATCCATTTGGACTATGTTTAATGTATCAGTTGCTGCCTTCCAAATTGAATTTGTTGGTGGCCTAAATGCCAACACTGAGGCTTTAAAATACACATAACCAGTAGGTAATGCCACTCATTCAGTCAGTTAAAACCAGTCAGCTTAGAGAGGCCCAGAGTTCGATATAAACTTTGGCCTAAAGTCTAGCTAAAAAGAGTTGGGCAAGTTGATAGGATGCTTGCAAGCCTGTTTGGACTTGTGTCGGTGTTTCCATTAATTATAGTTAGAAGCACTGTTTTCAGAATCCAGGAAGCATATTAATTAGTCTCAATAAGCTGTGTCATGTTCATCATCAGGATTAAATATATTTTGCAGCTTCCCGCTGAGTTAACTAAAAGAAAAAGCCTCTCTTTTAGTGGGAGAGGTTGCCGTGATTTGATACTATAATAGTCTTTTCTTGTCTTTTCTATTAAAAATCCCAGCTCATAACTGTAAAACAGGGTTACAGCCTCCCTGTGTTGTTTCTATAATTTTTCCATGCTAGAAATCATCAAGTAAACCCGATGAATCTGTGTCAAAGGTCACTGCTGAGCTTTGTCTGCGAGGCGAGCAGGATGGATGTGAGGCTTCCCACCGCCTCCGTTCAAAGGCTGCGTTTAACCCTCAGCTCTCAGTGCCTGGATTTTACTGTAAACACCCTTATTCTTCTTTGTCTCCTCCATGTAAATCCTGCTTCCTGCTGCTGGTATTATTGATGTTTATCTGCTTTTGAAACATTTATTTGCACTCCCAGTTTTGGTTTTTTTGTACTATTGTAGGAATCGCAGATAAAGCTGTAAGCCTCTCTGTCGCTCCATTTTCTGCACAAACCACTCCATTCTTGAAGCTTGACTTCACTCCAAGCATATCGGACTTCTTTGTCTGATGGAATGTGACAAGAATCAGACTTTTTTTCTCCAGTTTTTAGTCCTCGGGGTTTTTCTTTTCTTTTCTCCTTTTTTTCGTTTATGTAGAGGAAGGGCTTGTCCTTGAAATCTCTTTTCTGAAGAAGCCTTTTTGCACTGCTGGGCAAAGTGTATGAATAGTGTTGCAAAGTGCAGGAGCTGTGTAACATTTCCACCGGTTGATGACACTTGTTTTGCCCCACTCTGTTTTTGTTCGGTCAGCAAACAGCTCGAATTTTTGTGTCAGGGCTGCCAACATTTGTCCACGTTTGTGACAGGATTAGATTTGAGTGTGTAGACACTGTAATCATTTGCAGGCGTGTTCATGCTGAGTGAAGGCAAATTTTTCCATCCAGAGACTCTGCAGGCCAGAAACAAGATGATTTCAGGATACAGAACAGGCAGAAGAGTCCGGAAATTTCTTTGTATGCCTGTCTCTGCTCTTAGGAATCATATGTGATAGATAGATTATATTTTTAGTATTTTTTTTTCCTATCTGTATACAGTTAGAGCCATGAGTTTTTGGACGTTGACACTTCTTTTTTGTAGTTTTTGCTCCATACACCTCCATAGTGGAAGTGCTGACTTTCCGCTTTAATTCAGGGAGGGTAAAAAGGTATTGCATTAACTTTGTTAGGCAGGCATTTTATACACCACCCCCCATTTTGGACATGGTTGACTAATGAGCATTACTGTTGTTGCATGACAGCAATGAGTAAATGGTGTCTTTTCACTGGAACTCTTAGTATGAGGTCAAAAGAGACGCTGATGCAAGTGAAGCAGGCTGAAAGAAACAAAGTAGCCTAACAGAAAGATTCCAGAAACTGTCCTGTTCATGAAAACCAAACAGGCCTGAAAAACAGCTGAAGACATTTAAAGTGCATGAGAATTATTACAGAATTACTTCCATGGTTTATCATCCAAGTATCATAGAGGCTCCTTGAACTTATTTAGTCATTTTGGCTTTAAAAAAATCCTGCTAAAAAAGTCAGTTCCTTCCTCTTTGGACAGAAGAAGCTAATATGAACTTGGACCAGAATGATGGGAGGAGTAAAGCAGGGAGAAGGAGAGAAACGGCTCATGATATGAAGCACATCACATCATCTGTCAAACTCAGAGGAGGGATTGTTATTGCATGGGCATGTATGTGTCAGAGGAACTGGGTCACTGGTGTT